GGTGAGCAAACCCGACTAGGAAGCTTACAATTTACTGTGAAGACATAAAAAAATACTCACACTCATTCTTTCAACAAACATTTATTGAGCACCTGTTAAGTGCCAGGCACCATGGCAGGCCCTGCAGGAATACAGAAGTAAATAAAAGCAGACCATGTCCCTACCCCTCATGGAGCTTACAGTCTAGCAGGGTCATCCAATAATCCCCAAATGAAGGTCTAACCACAAACTGAGGTCATTTCCTTCAAAAAAGGAAAGAATGTGCTAGAACAAGGGGACCATGGCCCAGACTACAGGTCAGGGAGAGCTTAGGATGTTTAGAAGGAAAACAAGCAAGGGAGGGGAGAAGAGTGAGAAGCTGCTCAGAGCACTGTGCGGGAAGTAATGGATTCAATCTCGAACAAGGGGAGTTTGCGGCATCTTTGGGACATCAGGTAAGTAGAGACACCAAGTTTGAATATATGAGGCTAAAAGAAAGGGCAAGGAGAAAGAGAAGTGCCAGGGAGTTAAGAGGAAAAGCATCCAAGGCAAGGGAAGAAAGTGTTTGAAGTAGGAGTGCTCAACCACTTCAAGAAAACCAAAAACCCACCTATGAAATCTGGTAGATGCAGGGGCCAAAGAACGTGGGAAAACAAGTGCAAGCAACTCTTTAGAGAGGGATCGGCAATGAAGGGGAGCGTGATTGAGGACTGGCCAGCAGCGGTGTGGACAGAGGTGGGCCCAAAGGACATGTTTTTAAGACAGAGATACTGGCATGTGTAACAGCTGATAGAGGATCAGGTGAGAGCAGTGAAAAGCTGCTGGGAGAGAGAGAGAAACTGATTATGTCAGGTTCTGGAGCAAATGGAAGAAAACGGAACCCAGAGCATGAGTGCAGGAACTGGCCTGAGGGAAGATAGGGTCCCCTCCTCCCCCGTAACACAAAGGAGAGAAGTCAGAGTGCAGGCATGGGGAGTTCCAGTCTTATGGCTTCTATTTGGTTTTTTGAAGGTAAAGAATTTGAAAGAATCACATCAGGGAGGAGACAAAAATGGATCAGAAAAATAGGACTGCCAGGCAGGGTGGGAAATGATCCTGAATTTGTGATGATGCTCATCTGCTCTACTACACGACATTCCCTAACAGGGCCTGCCTGCTTGGCCGACGGGTGCTATGGAAAAACCAGGGCCTGAAGAAGTTGGAATGAACAGGCTTTCCGGAGGAAACACTCTTAGAATTGAAGTATCAAAATGAGGAGACTGCAAGGGGCACAGGACCAACATTCCTGGTGATGGAAACAGGATGGGCAGAGGCCCTGAGGCAGGAAGGGGCAAGGCACCTTGGAAAAACCATGGTGGTAGCTCAGAAGGCAGAGGACGGTATGAGGTGAGACTAGTAGCCACGGAGGCCAGATTGGGGGAGAGGGCAGGGGATGCCTGAAGGCCATGCTTAGGCTTTCTTGGTCTTCGTTTTTAAGAGGAATAGGATAGCTCCTAAGGGTGTTAAATCAAGGTGAACCAGGAGGGCTCCTCTTCACTCCAGCCCTGGGACATTGGACTCTGGGAACCTCAGTTTGCTCATCTGGGAAAAAGGGATAAAACAGTCTACCTCACCAGGAACGTTGAAAGGATTAGATGACATTTGCATGCAAAGAGCCAAGTGCATAGACCTCTGCCAGGTCTCAAATGACAAGCCCTCTGTACCTGTCCCTTTCCACCCAGTTCCACCACCAGCCCTCTGACATCTCGGTGCCAGTCTGTCTTTTTCCCTGTTTGAAACTAGCACTGTGCCCAGCACATAGTAGGCCCTCAATAAATGCTTGCTGATGGATCATCTCTAAGCCTACGGTTTATCAAAAGCCTGATCTAGCAACTCAGGGAATGCAGCCTTTTCAGTTTCTAAGCATTATCCCTTTGGCTATCATCGACTTCTTCCATGCTTGCACCTGATGTGGCTGCACCCGGTGCACAGTGGGCCTACAGCCAACACTGCCTGAATGGGAAGACCTATACAACAGAGACCCAGCAGGTGAAGACTACCTCCTGAGATCCTCCATCATTTACAAGAGGGCTGGGTCTCAGGGGGCAGCTGTTCTTCAACAGCGCTCCAAGTCTCGGCAGCACACAGGTTTTAAAACAATAATAAGTTGAAATGTACTCGCCAAGAAAGCCACCAACCTAAAAAGAAAATCTTATCGTTGATCTTGCAATGAGCACCAACCTCCCCTTTGCAAGAGCTGAGATCAAAAGATAAAGAAGCTATCAAAAAGCCATCTGCCCACTTAAAATAATATCACAAGTCATGTTAGGAACCACAGACCTGGGGCCAGATATCAAAACAATTGTCTGAACGGGCTGCTTCAATTTCTCCTTAAAACCACCATGTATTTTAAAAGAAAAACACCTTCTCCACCCACATTGGCCCTGCAAGCTTCTGATTTCTCTGTTCCCTTCCTTTCACACTCTAAAATGAGCAAGCTCCATTTACCCAAACTGTTGCGTCTTATAGACTGGCTCCCACGACAGCCGGCTGGAATGACGTCTTAGGAAAAGGTGATTCTGGGACACAAATAGCTCAGTATCTCGGATCTGGATGATGGCTACATAAGGGCATAGATATGTAAAAATCCATTGAGCCCTATACTTAAGATCAGTCTACTTTATGTAGCTGTCACTCAACAAAGCAAAAAAAAAAAAGGAAGAGCAAAGCATAATATACTGGAGCAAAATGCAGAATTTATCCTGAATCTTATCAGGCCTTCAAGGAGGAGCTATTTTTAAAAATTGCTCCTATGCCCTGGCCAGTGTGGCTGGCTCAGTTGGTTGAGCATCGTCCATGCACCGAAAGGTTGTTGGTTTGATTCCTGGTCTGGGCACATGCCTGGGTTGCAGGCTCAATCCCCAGGGCGGGGAGGGGAACATGCAGGAGGCAGTCAATCAATGTTACATCAATGTTTCTCTCTTCTCCCTTTCTCTCACTCTAAAAATCAATAAACTATTCTTTTAAAAAAATAATAAATAAAATTTCCCTTAGCATCTCCTTGGTCTGTCACTCACTGAGCAAACTTGAACAAGCAGGCTTACTCCTGAGCTACCTCTTTCCCCCTCTATTAAATGAGGATAATCATAGCACCTCCAGCACACAGCATGCACAGCAGGACTCAGGAGAGAACAGACACGAAGCTCTTAGCACAGATATCAGTACATGCCAGCCACTGTTATCTTTGGCAGCTACCACCATGCTTGTTACCTTGCCCATGTTGGCTGCGTCCAATCCAACCACACAAAGTGACTGTCATTCCCCTTAAGCAGATGAGAAAACTGAGGCAAGGCCACACAGCTGGTGACAGGCAGAGCAGAGTTTGGGAGGAGAATCCAAAGACCTGTACGTGTGATTCCCTAAGTACTAACACTGGCTAACACCTATGTGGCACTGCTATGAGCCAGGCTAGGTTCTGAGTGCTTTTGCTCGTCTCCTGTGAAGTAGGTATTATAATTATCTGTTTAACAGATGAGGGTACTGAGACATAATGCAGTTGGCCAAGGTTACAAGGCCAATATAGATGGCAGATCTGGGATTTGAACCCAGGCACTGATGCCAGAATCCACGCTCTTAACACTGTAAGGAAAGCCATGTTGCCTGCCCCCTCAGACTAAGCCTCAGGTTACTATGGGGCTCACAGGTCAGTAAGTGGGTGCCTGCCTGCTGGCTCAAGTACCCAGGCACATCTGCCCACCAACTGAGCTAGGCCGTTCTGAACCACTCACAGCCTTGCCAGGATCACAAATATCTTGCTGCAGCCAGAGGCTTCTGATCCAACATATACAAGGTCCAAAAAGCACTTTCCCATTCCCATTTCCAGTCCTCTCACCACCAGGGAAATGTATTTCCCATGCATGGAGAATCTACCTATCCCATACTAGACTTAGGTGAGCCCAAAAAGAATCAGGCCTATCTGCTACCCTGGAAAAACTAAGCTGACAGAAAAAAACCTAGGAGAATCTTGTCTCAGGGCCTCCTGGGTTTAACTGGTTCTTTCTCCCAGGCCCTGAATAGTCACAGGTGTTATGGCAAAAACACAGGATAAGAGCTTCAGGTACAGGCCCATCTGATTCTGCCTCTGCCAGAGCCAATGCTTCCCTGTGAGAGCATGGGGTCGGCCACTCACCTCTGCAGACTTCAGACTATTAGAGCACAACAGTAAAGAGAGTGCACAGGCTTCAAGGTTAGTCATGGCCGAAATGGAAAAGCCAGGCGCCATCACTTCCTTAACCAATTTCTCACTCTGGAACTCTGGTTTCCTGCTCTGTCAAATAGGAATTCAGCTTCCCCACCCCCCACCCCCAGCTCCCACACTACCATGTCACTGCAGTTCTCTCCACTCTATCACTGCCTATCATTCACACCAAGCTCATTCCCACCTAAGGACTTTTGCACTTGCTGTTCTCTCCCTAGAACACCCTTGCTCCCATATGTGGACATAACTACTCCTCTTGATCATTCAGGACTCAGTTTAAATGGCACCTCCTCATTAAAGTCCTCCCTGTTTCCTTTTCTACAAACTCTCTTCCTTCATATCTGCGCATAACTCTACTTAACATCATCCAGGACTCAACTCCTCAAAGGCCTTCCCTGAACATCCTGGCTAAACCAGGCATTCCCTCCCGAACTTTCTCCCCTTGCTCAATTTTCCTTCCCCCTCAACAGCTTCCTATGTTTCTTATCTGCTCATTTCTGGTTCTTTCCAACTGTCTCCCATAGGAGCCTGTATGATCCTTGAGGGCAGGAAAGATGTCTGCCTTGTTCAGGGCTTTACAGTGGAATTCAATAAATGAATGAATAAAACCCCAGTAATGCAGAGCCTAGCATATGTTTGGCCTCCATTACTCTTTGACTAACTGACTGAATGTGCCCTCCTCCCTGTCCTGGAGAGCAGGCCTGAGGGGTTCCTGGATCAGGATGCTTGTCCTCCATCCTAGACACAGCCCTGCGATGGCGGAGGTGGCGCTGGCAGACATTACCTGCGCCTCACCGGCTTCATGCAGCTCTTCAGCTGCCTGGCCTCAGCCTCCATGGTACCCTGGGACTCGGGCTGTGGCTCCAGCTGCGGCAGCTGCTGCTGCTGGGGCAGCCCTTCAGCGTCAGTGGGTGAGGGAGCGGGTGAGATCCGGAGCAGAACTGTGTAGTTGCGGCCGTGGTTGTTGGCCCAGAAAATGCCCTCGGGGGTCTCATAGCGCACCACGAAGTCCAGGCGCGCCCCATCGCCCGCGCCCTCCGCAAAGGGCAGCTGGAAGGCAAAGCGGTCAGTGCGGCCACCGTCGTCGGGCGAGGAGGCGTACACCTGACCGGACACCAGGCCAAGGCCTGGATCCAGGATGGGATCTCCGGTTCCTGGTCCTCCCGTTCCTGCCACCGCGGGCTGCGCGGGACGTAGCGCGCTGGTTGTCGCAGAGGAGCCCAGCCGTCGTGTGAGGTCGCACGTGCCACCGCCTTCTCGAGGAGCGGTTCAGCA